TATCGAATGATGTGTGTTTAAAGCAAATCTATCAACTGCTCGAAGTTTGAATTTGGCGCACCTTATATTTTGACGGGAATATCTTTTTTATCTAAGCAAACATGTTTTACACTACGCAGGCTATCTAGAAAAGGTTTAGGAAGAATCTTTCGATCACACGTCTCTTTTGGAAACACAAACAGACCGACAGGGACTAAATTTTTCGGTGCCTGACAGTCGCGATCACCTTCAATACAATTGACGGAAACAGCTACAATATGCTTATTACCAATTAGGGTTCCATCCATATTTAGTCGAAAAGTTATCTGAGGTAATTGATGAAGATTTCAACTTTCTTCTTAGCTATGAATAAAGCAGTTTTTATAGCATATTCAAACTGAACATAAGCACCGTCTATCATACTAACTATGGGAAATTTTTGATTAACTTGTTTCCTCTTTTTACGAGCAGAATGAATTGATAAAAACTTCTTGTATTTTTTAAAAAACTTGTCTATGGCATCTATTCCTTTGTCAGTGATATTATGTTCATCTTTTAAATGTAAAAGTTCGCGCTTAATTTTTTCCTGTTCTTCGTGCCATTTTACATTAGTACGAAGTAAATCAGGAAAAGATTCTTCGTCGTATTCAGTACGCTTAGCCGTTCCTTTTTCTCGAGAATGACGATAAGATCCGATAATTTCATCAATATCGACGTCCTGAAAATACTCTGTAGAGATTACACTGATTACTGGAATAAAAAACGTAAAAAACTTGCGTTTCTGAAGTATGGTCAGGTCAGATTTCGCTAGTGAAAGGACTTTCAATATGTCAGATTTTAATGACTTAGTAACAGAGTCAAGATCATAGACTACCTTTTGAGAGAGCAGATATTCGCATATAAGTGCTATCAGAGCTAGGCAGCTCCGGCTACGGAGCCGTCTTCGTTTATAAACGGAGCCGGAGCTGGAGCCTGAACCGAAGCCGGTGTGCGGATGATGATATACGCGTTCGATATCGAGGTAAAGATGATAGTCTTACGGCAGATAGTTATATGAGTTTGTGCACTGATGACACGTTAATATATGCTGCCTCAGTCTTGACCTTCTTCTATTAAAATGTAAGGCTTTCGAAAGAAGATTTTTTATGTATATATATCATGCAGTTATAGATTTGTACTTCAAAACGTTAAGAAGAAACAATAGTATATTTCTCTTTCTCTTTTCTTCGTTCTTTTCTTTCTCTCGTTTTTTTGGTCTCGAAACAGACCTTGACTATTATTTTCATTTTTTATTCTCTCTCTATATCATCGTACAACCTGATTGTTGACTATCCATATCTGAATTCGCTTGCTCTTCGACTTTTGTGTGTGCCTGCAACATCAGCGCCTGTTGAACGCGTATACCAGCGGTTTCGTAACGCGACCACACAGAGAAAGTCTTACGAAAGAAATGTTGGCGAAATTAACATTTCTCAAGTATAACTCTGATCTTCTACATTAGACATCTTCGTTTGCTATTCGATTGTTTCCATTTGTATTATTATTTTGTATTTTTCCAACAAGGAAAGATGAACATTTTTTTTGGAGCCGGAACCGGACAGAAAAACTTGGAGCCGGAGCTGGAGTGGAGCCGGAGCCGGGAGGAATCGGAGCTGCCCAGCTCTGAGTGCTATCATTTCACGTACATCCATAATATTGGGAGTAGAGAGAAAACTAGAAGATGCCTCCTCGATGAACGATAAACTAAGCGTTATCTCAACTGAAGAACTACAGACGGGCTGTAAAGCAATGCTATAAAATGAACTAAGATATAGAGAACGGACAAGAAGAACCTTCTTCGAGTCAATATACATCTCAAATAAATCTAGATCCTTTGAAACGGAAGACGTTACAGGATTGTTAAAACTTTGTGAAATAGCGGTAAGCGGTTGTATACAACGAACATGAAATTGAAATTCGTTCTGTTCCCGTAACGCATTGAGAGCAGCAACACTGTTACCCCTACGGTTTTTTGTTTCGCCTATGCTATTGCGAGCAGTTTAAAACGTAATTCTTTCTTTAAAGACGACAAACTAGTCCAATATTTTAGTTTTAAAAACATAAATGTACAGATGTCGTCACAAATACGATTCACATCTAATGGAGTACCACTACTGCGACGCACTAGTCGTTGTAGATAGAAACTGAGATATTGATAGTTTGTCTGTACAGCTAAACTGTTATTTTCATAGACAAAAGATACATGTACGGATTCAGAAGGAAGTATAGGTGTCGGAACACTGGTAAGAGCGAAGGGAGGGTTTATTAATACTTGATTATCTCCAGGACTCGCTGAATCCATCATATTGTCTGGGTTAGAGAGGGGTGTAGTAGCACGTTAGTCTTCTATAGTCTGCTGCATTCTAGTGCAAAGAAGCTTATCTTTTAATGAGGAATTCTTTCACCAAGCCAGTTCAACTACCAGTCCAACAGTTTAGAAGTATAATGGGATATGGTGCATATTGGCCTTCAGTGCTAAACATTTTGGGATTTGTGAATGAGCTAAATATCAAGTTCCATTTCTTTTATTTTAGCATTAAATTTTTTTTCCCGAATAGTTTACTTCAAGCATGAAAGCAGTTGCCGGATTTGCCAAATTATCGTGATTTTTCGTATTCATTTAACTATCTTAAAACTGATAGTAATACAATCTATGGTGGAAAATAGTATCTATGAATAGAATGCTTATTGGGAATTGCGTTAACAAATTTGTCGCAAATCTAGAGAACGGACGATGAGAATGCAAAAAGGTATCAGAAAAAATAATGTGAAAAGAAAAATAATATATTTAATGATTTAACATGAATACAGATGTAGCGATGAATGCTGTTTTTTCTTACAATATGTTCCGAAGTTTGAGCGTTTGCGCTGTGATTAGTTTGCATTAACACAATAAGTTTCTTTCAGATTATTGTCTGATTACGCATAAATACCATGACAACTATTGCTGCTATTCCGGCGGTACCATCTTCCTTTGGTTATAATGACTTAGTTTCTCAAGTTCAAGCAATTCAGTATCAAATGGTACAAATGGAAAACGAGATTAATAGTCGATTGGAAAATGAAACAAAGAAGCAGAGTCAATTAAAATTTCGTTCAATAACGTTTCGTGATCCTTATGGTAATCAAATGGTCAATGAACACATGGACCATGAATTGATCAACAAAATAACCAGAAAATATAAGATAAATTATGTACCGAAATATTTACAACGATGGGCACAAATAGGTAGTATAGATCACGATGTTATTTCACCAATAACTGATTGTGAATTAAGATCAACTGTATCTCAATGGATAAGTGATCGTCAATTTATTACATACGGTGAAGTGACTGTATGGTTGAAAAGTTATGAGAGTTTCTATTTTGAAAAATTTGTACTAAAACTAGTATTAATGGACACTATGGAGAAAGTTAAAATAGAATTATCGAGACACAGACAATTTAGTAACGCAGAGTTAAAATCATGCATATTAAATTCTGGTGATGAATTAAACGAAAAAGTCTGGGATAAAATGGGAAAATGGGAAGATGCCATTATGTCAGGCGAATTGTATCGAGATAATTATTGCATAATGGTAAAAATTATTCAGGAAAAGGTAAATTGTCATTTCATTGCCATCTTAGATAGATATCTCCTAAACAATCTCATGTATTTTTATTTTCATTCACACAGGGTTCGGTAACAGCTTCGTCTTCCCACTGGTCCGACACTGGATTCCAGATCTTTATCAGGCTTCTAACTGGGAAAATTTCGTCTTTAAACGTGACTTCTACGATGGACATAGCCCAGGTGAAAGAACTACTTCAAAATAAAGAAAAATTCCTCCAGATTATCAACGACTTATATTTTGTGGCACACAGTTAGAAGATGGAAGAACCCTTGGAGACTACAATATACAAAAGGAGTCTACATTGCATTTGGTACTGCGTGTTAGAGGTGGAATGTATCATTTTACTAGTGGTCGACAAGATTTTCAAACGCTTTCTTACGATGGTGCTAAAGCAATTCAAAATGTATTTGCATTCAGATCTGGAATGGCAAATAGTGTCTATCACTTACCATTAACTGAATTACAAGAATCTATTTTACAAGCACGAGCTGTTCTGTCAACTTTATATGAGGCAACCAAAGACTTTTGCGTACCACATGGTGTGACAAACTTAAAGACACCATCTTGGCAACTCAATGAAATGAATGTTGACGATGTCATTGTCAGCGATGGTAGTGAAGATGACGATATGTCAAACGATCAGTAAATGTCCTCGGATTATTTGCGTCCACGATAAACTCTACTTTCGCTTAATCACGAACGCAAGTAACAACTTCTTGGTCGAAGAGTTACTCTCATTTTAGTAATTATTCTGGTTTAAGATAGTTAAGCTGAATATCATGTAATTTTTCTAAAAACGGAAAAAAATGACTTAAATAAAAAATAGACAAACTATTGCACACTTACTCATCAACGGACTTGTGTTTGGAGTGAATAATTTTGATAATGTTGTTTCAGAATTTTCTCAACGTTTGAGTTACCACATTGAACATGATCTTTATGAGTAAAAATATAATGAATTGCAGAATTAGTGAATGCAATACCCATAATACAATTGTATTAAATCCTCAACGCATTAGTGTATTTTTGACGTCTGCAACGTGAATAGTATACGACTTGATTAGCATTCACTAGTCTCGCGCATTATGAATGTACGACTTTATGAATACGCTTTCTTTTATTCTTGTTTTCTATTTTCTACACTCCCGATAATACAATTGTATTAAATCGTTGAAACAGTTGGATTCATAGAGTCTTAGAGTGGGAAATTTGCAATTTACAGATCCTCTCTCTTTTCGAAATCATATTTATATCTAGAGGTGGGCCGTAATACGTACGCCTCGAAAGAAAGCAACGAACGATTATTCGTTATTCACTATAGCAAACTATGTTTCATTTATATACGAGTAGAGAATATTCGAATAATGAGTATACGAATGA